AATGTGGTAGTGCCTATGATAGGGTTGTAGGGGGACAATTATTTTTTATAGTATGCATTTTGGGTCGTTCGAGATGGTGGATTCGGTGGTGGCAGGTTTCGTAGGCTGCCATTTTGCTCAGCTCTCCTGCTGATTTGACTATTTATTTTCAAGAATTCTTGAATATTAGTAATTGTTTGTACGTATATAACTTTGATTTGTGTGGGGGTGGGGTGGTTTTGTTCGAAATGGTGAATGCATGAGAAAATTGATGGAGTGTGACAAACAAAAGGGCCACGTGGTGGTGTTGGTAATCGTTGCTAGCTTGACGTGAGTAGGTCAATGGAAGTCGCCAGTGTCGTGGCGGAAATGGAATGGATTGTGGTTGGACATGGTGGATGACGATGGTCGACGCGACACGGTGATTTAGATGTGGTGGGTGGTGGTGATCGTTGGCACGAGTGGGATGGATGGCGATCGGTGGATGCCAACGGTAGGCAATGATGGGACTCTAGTGGTGGATTTCTTGGTTGGTTTGAAGAAGAGACAGGGTATAGGTGTGGGAAGAGGAGATTACCAGTGGATTGGTTTTTGTTATTTTTATTTTTTAGTTTTTTAATTTTATTTAAAGTTGTCATTTTACCTCTTTTAAAATTGATCAAATTTAATTTATTAGGTCAACTAACGGTCAAACAAACAGAAATCATTCATTTGGACCAAAAATGCTAATTTTTAAAAGGTTTAGGACTATGTGTAGTACAAAGTGAAGGTTAAAGTAACGCCTGCAAAATATTAAAGGGTTTGGGACCGCTACTGCAATTATCTTTTTGTTTTTTTTATTCAATGGTAATTAAAAGATATTCAAAAAAATTACGACAAGACATTTAACCCTTGAATTAGACTACATTGCATAATGCTACCAACCAACTATCGACGACCAACCATTTCAATAATTTTTGACATTTTAGTCAGAGTTGAATATTCATGGGTTAATACCCTGAATAGTCATTAAACTTTGCTAAAAATTCTCAGGAGGTCATTGAATTTCAAAACTTCCCTAATTAGTCATTGAACTTCGCAAAAAGTTTCTAGGAGGTTACTGAATTTCGAAACTATCCTAAAAGTCACTGAACTTTTCCAAAACTACCCTAATTAGTCACTCAACTTTATAAAAAAATCGTAGGGGGTCACTAAATTATTGATGTATGGGGTCTCAATTTGTAAAGTTCGATGACCTCCTAGAAAGTTTTAGTAAAGTTCAGTGACTATTTAGGGTAGTTTTGAAGTTCAATAACCTCTTAAGAACTTTTTGCAAAGTTCAGTGACTAATTAGGGAAGTTTTGAAATTCGATGACCTCTTGGGAACTTTTGGCAAAGTTCGGTGACTATTTAGGGTATTAACTCAATATTCATTGCACATTATTTTGAAATACTCTATAAGTGTTGTGAACGTAATATTTGACCCTCCATTTACCATTTTGATCTAAATATAAGAGAAATGTAAACTCTTGAAAATAAATATTAATTATTATACATGTACGTAAATAGTGAAATGCATACTTGAATGTGAGTATTAGAATTACATCTAAATGCATAAATTAAGATGAATGACAAATACAATACATGAATTAATGTGAATTTTAATTAATTTACAATTAATACCAAAGAATATATATATGTGACAATAAATGTTAAATCATTTATATTAAATTAATATAATTTCAATTTCAATTAAATGATACCGAATGTTAATTAACATATACGAACGGGAATAATGAATTGCATGAATGTTAATTAATTAAGAATTAATAACAGCGATATGGACATGAATGTAAATGTAAAATTTTAATTAATATTAATTAAGTGAATATGAATGTTAATTAATTAAGAATCAATAACAAGGAATACATGAACAATGATTTTGTAGTATTTATTACAATTTGTAAATTAATTACATATTGAAAAACGAAAGGTAATGTATTATTGAAATAATTGAATTGTAGTAGGGTTATAATCGTTCAAAAAAATAATTTTTACTTAATGTCATATTAATATATTATAGATAGGCCCCCGTTTGAGTCCCATTTTATCACCAAAATGCATTTTGAAATGATAATGTTATTTAGTTTCACTGGGATTACAACTCAATTTATGTGGTGTTTACGTGATATTAAAAGATAGATGAAATAAATAAGTCACTTTTCATTTAAGGGGTGTTTGACACCCATTTTTGTGAAAAAAAAATATGTTTTTGAATAGTGATTGATGGAAGAATGTGTTGTTAAAAAGTAAGGAGAATTTTTAGGTTTATGTGTAATATTATTTTATTGATAGAATGTGTGGTTGAAATGAATAAAGAAAAAAAAGAATGAGAATGAGAAAAAAATAGGTGCCAAATGAGAGCTTAATATAGCATATAGCGCCACCTAAACGGAGGGCTTATGACCTTAGTGGGACTACGTAACATTACTCTTTTGAAGTAGTGTTTTGTTGGAGAATGTGGTTAACTAATAAAGAAAAGTTTTGAAATTATTATTAAAATTATTTTACACGAGAATGTGTGGTTGAAAATAAATTTTGAAAAAAATAATTTTTTGAAAACATGAAGGCCAAATATGAATAATAATGATTGAACATGCTCAAAGATATGGAAATGATGAATAGACTATCTTGGCAACACTTATTTGAGAGTCTTTTTATTTTTCAAAATGTCCAATCACGTGTCAGACATATGTTCCACCTACCTTTTGACCTTGTTTTCGAGCCTATTCGTATAACATGATGGGCCAAGCATAGATCGTACCGGGTAATTAATGTTGGATAGGTCCAAATAGTAAGTCGGTTTAGTGGGGTGGGGCCGGGTTGGTGTTAGAGGTTGAAGTCCAAGTAGAATATGCCATAAAGAAATGGACGGATGGCGTTTTTTAATTGCATGTAAAATCGATAATAATAGTTATAGGACCTACATCATGTGATAAACAGTGATTTGTCACTAATCAATGGTTAATCAGACTGTCACATTTCAATTATTGCAAAAATAGTTATTTAACCAAAAATTGATTTTTAAGTAACTTCTATTAATCATGATTCTTGCGTGTCTTTAGGCTTTCGACCACAAGCGATCCATATCGACCGGCCGTACTACTCACAATAATGAATAACATCACATTGTACATCGGGGTGTACACCCCCCTCACGTGGGGGTGGGACCCGCTTAGATTAAAAAATAATTTATGCAATGGGTCCCACACCCCATGTGAGAGTGATGTNAGTGATGTATCCCCTTATGTACAATGTGTGATGTACAAGTAGCATTTTTCATAATATAATATAGAATTAAGTTAGACATACATCCTTGTTGACAACAAGGATGACATTCTTCCCTATGTGGAGTAAATCTGTACAGTGATATGATTGATAAGGTAAAAATAGAAAGTATAGATCCTGTCATGCGAAAGAATGTAAAGGAGAGTATATCATATTGTATGATATGTCTAGTCATTTGTAGTTTATCGTGTAGATGTCACACAAATGAATCTTGATTTAAAAAGACTTCACTGATTTCAATCCATTCAAGATATAATTAGAACGATAAATTGAAGATAATTAAAAATTGTATAGTCGGCTTAAAATTTATTGATGGTCTATTGGTCTTATTCCATCGTATTTAGTTTAACAGTAACTTATTTTTAAATTTTGATTAGTAAAAGAGATGATTTAACGACAAAAAGTCGAACAAAAATGAACAAAATTTGACCTATCACCATCCTCTTCGGCCACCTTGGTCTCGTTTTGATAGAGATGTGGCAATTGGATAATTTAGTGATAACGGTCAACTGGGACCAGGATAACCAAATTCAAGGACACAACTAGGGCAGTTCCACCTATAAAACTCGGACCAAAGATGCCATGTCCAAATCTAGCATAATATACCTAAAGGATATTGGCACAATTGATCCCAAACCTTTGCCCATATTACATAATAGGCGAGCCTATTCATACCGGCCTGTGCAATTTGAAAACACTAAGAGCTTGTTTGTTTAGAATTCTCAAATTCTACAGTAAATCAATTTTCATTTTCAACCACACATTCTTCAATAAAATAATATTTTCCATCACATCAATAATTTTTTCTTCTTTTTCAAACACACATTTATCATCATATCACTATTTAAAAATCAATTCTTCTCCCAAAAATCTCAAACAAACACCCCATAAGTCCATGCACCAAACTAACGGTCCTTTCAGACAAAATCCGCCCCAAATGACCATTTGCGCCAAAAAGTGAAAAAGTTCGGAAGCATTTGCACATCAATTTTGAAAGGTTTGGACCAATTACAAAATATGGACAAAAGTTTGGGACCATTTGTGCCAATTTCCCTATACTTAATCAAAGGGATATAGGCTCGAGAACTCGTATGCTTTGGTAAACCTTACATTTGGTGAAGTAATTAGAATTAATTGTCCAATTACAAGAAAGCAAGGTGTATAAACAAATACATCAAACGTACAAACCAAGCAAGTAATTATATAATCAATAGTATGGTACTCAACCAGTTCTAACCCAATATTATTTATTCTAAATCACATTCTTTATTACCGTCATCCCTCCATGACATTAATCAATATTAAATCAATACCTCCTCGTATGTACAAGCGTGTTTTACTCAATGCGGTCTGCCAGAAACATATAATTTCCAAGCTGCATTAGAATCTAAGCTTTCTCACATGCCACCATTTAAGGAACACAAGAATCTTCTACAAAAAATTCTTGTTTTTCTCCTTATATGCACGAACTAGTATTAAAATATAAGATTTAAGATTACTAAATTCCGATTCATCAATGCAGGTACACGACTACAACTCTTTACATTACTTCTATTCCTCCTCGGACCAATTCTTTATCAAGAATATGGTACCACCTTCCGATAAAATATGATGATTTGAACTTTAATAAATCAAGGAATACAGCTAAGAAAGAAAGGGTCGTACAAGAAGCAAAAATGAATTGAGATTACGTTTTAGGTCTTCGTCGTTAATACTTCGCTGATCTCACCTTCCCTACATAAGCCCACATCTATAACCATGCCTTTCCTCTTTGATTCCACGACTCGGCAACAATTTCTCCTTGGAGACTGCCCAAAAACAATTCAAAACCAGTGTCACGATATAGATCAAGCAAATTCAATGGTATGTGACTAAATGAATGTCAATTCAAATTAATCTGGTCCACAGTATTAAAAGCAATTAGCTGTCAAATTAAAAGTAACCGTCAACTTGACTTTCAATTCTTAATGCAAGAATTTTCTTTATATTAGGTGCAATAGTAGTCTTATTAGCACGCATTGACATCCAGCCCAGAACATAATAAAAGTAGACAAGAGTGTTAATTACAAGACATGAGAATGCGCGTACCCTATTCCAGAGCAATGGGTCGGGTTTCTTGTGAACCTCCACTCTCTCAACTTCAGCCGGGTCAGCCATCTTCCATCTGCATTGTGGATGAGGAACTATATGGCGAGTGTATTCGCTCAGTGTTTGATTTGTATGATAATTCATTCTTGCTTTTGACAAGTAAAACACAAATGGCTTCTGACACGGGTTTCTCATAACCGGCCTTGTGTTGAATGCATACGCTGTGTAATCAGCTCTTCGATACCAATTCAAGAAAGTCCTTGATGGCATCTCCATCTCCCGGGGTGATAACACCCCACGAAATATTTGAACAGCAAATCCCCAAGAAACAGAAACTGTCCAATCATTTGTTTTGTCATAGCAAATGGATTGTTGCATTAAACCAGCCGAATCAAGACTCATCGGAATTTTCAAACGTTGGAGAGCTTGCACTCGAGTAACATTGGGAAAAATCGGCTCCACCACATCAAGGTGGTGTAAAGACACCAATGGGGTGACAGGGTGTGCTGCTAAAAGGCCAAACAGGTTCCCATATACGTCATACTGAATAGCCATCCAACAAGTCGCCATTAGAATTAGTGACAACCATTAGTAACTGATTATAATGAAGTTTACCAAATCAACCTTAAACTCAATCATTAACCACAAAACCTACTACTGATCATTTTTTCCCCCACGACGGTCAAACTATGATGTTAAATCAACTCACGCCCCTGCACTCTTTTTAAGCTTGCGGCACAGGAACCTTGGGGCATTATAGTTAAAAATCTTATTCATTACCACGTCTAATTACATTCATTATTACAAATCAAAAGCCAGTCAATCATCAAGCTGGCCATACCAATTGGACCTCATTGAATAGTGAGTAATTTCCTACCTAAGGTGAAGTCTACAAATTTTGGTAGCCAGCACACGGAAACCCGTGAGGTATGACCAGTACTGCCATCATTGGACCTATTGCTCTAAATTTCCCATTGCCAAAAACTTATTAACGTTTTAAGAGTAATAATTAACTACACCGTCTTTACCCTAATCAACATTCATCACACCATCTGCATAACTACACCGTTTTTACTAGCACTGCTATCTGCTTAACTACATCATCTTTAGGTGTGACTTTGAGTTTCTGAGTTATTGTGATTTGAGTGGACAAAATATTTTCCAATTGTACAAAACTCACATTTACTATCACAAGCTCCATTTTTTTTTATCTTACAGTTATAAGAACAAATTTCTAGTTATATCTAACAAATGCAGTGTCGGCAAAGAAACCCAAGAAAAAGATCCAAAAACAGTAAAGGGATGGAAAAAAAAAAAAAAGAAAAGAAATCAAGAACAGTAACTCACCTGGTGAAAACCGAGTTCTTTAGTGAGTGGAACACCGAGTTCAGCCATACAAGCCTGCATTCTATCATCAGACCCATACAATCCAGGGTACCTCTGAATGCACCTATCTTGCATTTTCTCAAGAGCCTTAGCCAAAGGGTAGCTTATAGCAAAACCCCCACCTCCATAAGCCATTCCATAAGAAAAATAAATGTTCTGCAAATGACTTTCACTCAAACTCCCGATGTAATAATACTGATTATGATCATATTTGTTCAAAATCCTCACCAAATTATCTGTTACGAACACTGTATCATCATCTCCCATCACAAACCATCTTACATTCTCCATCCCCAACCTTAATGTCTCCGATACTATACGAGAAATCCGAATAGCGGATCGGTGTCCCTGCTTATTCTTGTAAGAAAATCTCGACGTGTCACCCGAGATTCTCAATTGTGGGAGGCTCCCAGATTCATTTCTATAAGCTTTTACATGGCTATCAAGCCAAACAATGCCCCTCATTTTCCTCTCAGGTTTCCACCATAACTTTATGTACTCCTTTCGCTTTTGCCATAGCTTGGCCGATGCTGCAATGCCAAAAGCTATGTGTTCCAAACCCGTTTTCTCATCCAGTTGATTAGGGGATATCGTCGATGATGTTGTTGAAAATGTGTTGTTCGATGATTTGTGAAGGGAAATGCTATTGCGGCGAGTAAGGAAAATATCTTCATCGCAACTAGGGGGAGAGGAAAGGAGCTTCAATGTGTACACTAAATAAGTGGCTGAAACGAACAAAATCAGCCACACCATGAGCTTAGGCAAGGATTTACCCTGCGAACCCGACATAGAAATGGGTGCCCCGGATGGAGTTCTAATCGGATCCCAGAAGATTTTCTCCGAATTATTCTGAGTCACTTTCATTATATTTGATCAAAAACTCAGTACAAAAAAACGAGAAAGGAGTCGAGAACAGAAATCAAATCGACTTTATTAACTAAATAATTTTTCGAAATATTCTTGGTGAAAATGTGCTAATGCAGTGAGATTATCGATTTTCGAGGGGATATCGAAGGGAAAAATACAGATCTGGGAAAAAAAAAAGGAGATCGGATTTCACATTTAATGAAGAACAATTATAATTCAGATAAGTGAAAATCAAGAAGAAGGGGAAAGACGAGCAAGGTGCTAGTTTGCTTTACTCTTCTCAAGAAAGCTCTACATATAAATTTTAATTTTGGCCCCATAATTAGTGCAAATTGTATTTATTATATATATATACACACACACACACACACAATCACTGTATAAGATAATAATGTGTTGTTCGAGGATGTAGATACGTACAAATGTGTGAATGTAAAGGAGTGGGGGTTGGGGTAGGGGGTGTAGATCTACAGACTGATTAGTGTACTGTAGCATGAGGGAAAGAGAAATTTGCACGGCTTCGTAGGTAACCTGATCAATGTCGGTACATGCCTTACGCGTTTCTTATCATACAACTATTTCACTTTATAGTAAAAGTTATTCCTCGTAATTTACTCTAAATTCAGATAATAAAAAGTTAAATTATTACGTTATAATTTACTCTAAATTCAGATAATAAAAAGTTACGATTTATAACACAATATTTTGGTTAAATTATTACATTATAATTTACTCTAAATTCAGATAATAACAAGTTACGGTCTATAACACAATATTTTGGTTCTCTCTCTCTATTCAATTGAGTGTTGATACTCATATAAATAATTTTCCATTATCAATAAGCAAATTATAATTCGCTTGATGTAAAATCATAATTCCCATATAAGGCCTTAATTTTCGTGTTAGGCTAGCCCAAAAAGCAGATGCGAAAAAGCAAATGCACAAGGATAGTTAATTAGTGACCATTTTTGGTGGTTTACAATCGGTAATCACAATTAATTATTAATCATCAAATTAAGGACAATTTTATCATGCATCATGCTACATGTAACGAATTTTTTTACCAAATCTTTTACCTACTACTCACAATGAGGATTGGGACTACATTGTCGGAATTTTTAAAGTGGTAATTATACAAATCTCTACTTTAAGTATTCAACATTCTAA